AACAGATTTCTAAACATAATAGTTTTAATAACTCATTTCTAATAACTGATTTATTTTACCTTTGCCATGATGACAGCACATAATATTTGACTAGATATTCTTCAAGACACTTCTATACAGCTTAAAGTGACATTTAAAGGCTTAACTTGGTTAATTAGGTTAACTAGGCAGGTTACAGTAATAAAGCAAGTTATTGTATAACAGGTTTGTTCTGTAGACTATCGAAAACAAATATAGCGTAAAGGGGCTAATAATTTTGACCTTAAACTGGCTTTTAAAAAATTAAAAGCTTCTTTCATTCTAGCCGAAATAAAACAAATAAGACTTTCTCCAGAAGAAAAAAATATTATCAGGCATGCTGTGAAAATGCTCTGTTAAACATCATTTGGAAAATAATTAAAGAAGAAAACAAAAATCATAGGGGGGGGCTAATAATTCTGACTTTAACCGTATATAAGAAAAAAGATGCGGTAAATGCTGACCTGCTTTGCATGTGTCCAGAGTAAGATGTCCACTGCACCACTATACAGTTAAACGAGCTGTTCACTGCTCAGTGTCCGAGTGTTTTCAGGGAAAAGTCATTAGATAGAGACATATAGTATGTCTATATGATAGTGATATATATATATATATATATATATATATATATATATATATATATAGTCAGTTGTCAGAATTATTAGCCCCTCTGAATTATTAGTAACTCATTTCTAGTAACTGATTTACCTTGTCTTTGTCATGATGACAGCACATAATATTTGACTGGATATTTTTCAACATACTAGTATTCAGTTTAAAGTGACATTTAAAGGCTTAACTAGGTAAATTAGGCAAATCATTTTATAATGATGGTTTGTTCTGTAGACCAGTGGTTCTCAAACTGTGGTACGTGTACGCGGAGGAATCACTGAGTAATGAAAGAAACAATGAATACAATTTTAATCATTCTATGTGTACCATAACATCAATGTGATCAGCATTGGCTGTTCTCTAAAGCCTACCATCAAAAGGCTGTGCTTAGACTGTTTACTTTAGTGCATAGAGTCATCAGCTGCTAAAAATCAATTAAAATGATGCAGAACTAGAAAAATAGAAAAAAAGGTGCGTGGTGCTTGAAGAGCAGATACGTGCTAGAACAGTGGTCCCCAACACTTGGGCCACAGACTGGCACCGGTCTATAGATTAATTAGTAATGGGCCGCACAAAAAAAAATCATCAGTTAGTTCTAATTTATTTATTATCTAAGACTGAACGATCATTTATTTTGAAAAATCGTTTATTTTGAAAAATGACCGTATTCTCTTGTTACATCACGGTCAGCTGAGCATCAAAATTTAACCCACAGGCTAGTAAAATGATTGAGAACTCCAGCATGACGCACTTGCATATTCCAGGCGTACTCAGTTAAAAACTTAAAAATCTTTAAAATCTGATGCCTTAAAATCTTAATTTTTCAGAATGCTGCATCGCGAGTCCCGTGACAAGAACCGACCAATCAGTTTTTATATTTTGTATGGAATATAACTTCAGTAGGTTAATTATCTCAGACAAATACAGACCACCCAAACTCTGCAGTGCTTTTGAATTTTTTCCATAAATAAAACTTCAGAGGTTGAGGCAGTGGCGCAGTAGGTAGTGCTGTCGCCTCACAGCGAGAAGGTCGCTGGGTTGCTGGTTCGAGCCTTGGCTCAGTTGGCGTTTCTGTGTGGAGTTTGCATGTTCTCCCTGCCTTCGCGTGGGTTTCCTCCGGCGCTCCGGTTTCCCCAACAGTCCAAAGACATGCGGTACAAGTGAATTGGGTAGGCTAAATTGTCCTTAGTGTATGAGTGTGTGTTAATGTGTGTGTGAATGTTTCCCAGAGATGGGTTGCGGCTGGAAGGGCATCTGCTGCATAAAAACTTGCTGGATAAGTTGGCGGTTCATTCCGCTTTGTCGACCCCGGATTAATAAAGGGACTAAGCCAACAAGAAAATGAATGAATGAATGAATAAAACTTTATCTTGACATCCTCTGAGAGAAACGGGCTCCTTACCAATCTACATACAAGTTTAGATTTCAAAAAGTTTTACAAATATGTCATATGTACATGCAATATATATTACAAAATTGTTAAAAAATTGCATAAATATGAATATGACTCTGCCTCGAACTCTGCAGTGCTGTAGATGCTTAATTTGGTCAGTTACGCTACTTTATTTCAACACTGGTCATTTTGGTGGTACTTGGAGAGACAATTTTTTTTTTGAGGTGGTACTTGGTTAAAAGTTTGAGAACCACTACTGTAAACAATCTAAGGGTGCTTTCACACCTACACTTTTGTTTCGGAACGTATCTCGTTTGCCCAGTAAGCACGGTTCATTTGGCATATGTGAACAGGGTAATCGCGCTCTGTTCCGCGCCAAAGTAATCGCTCCGAGATCGCTTGAATGAGGTGGTCTCGGCTCGATTGAAACGAACCCTGGAGCGGTTCGATTTCAGTGAGAAAGCCATCCAATCCGAGCGCGGTTATATCACAGTGTTTTATGGATATGTAATAGGCTTACGGCTATATGAAGAGAGAATTATGAGTAGGGCGCGAAGTTTCGCGAATCTCCGGATGCCCGCAAACGAGTGATGATCTCCCGGTAATCTCGCTTCTCCCTCCCGGTCCTCAAAAAGGCATCGTCGCGCACCCTTCTCACCACTCCCCACCGCATCTCTCCTCAGACACGTCGCGCGTGCGCGCTCCCTTTTAATCACCACCACACCACCACCTCTCCTGACAGCTGAGCGGGACGCTGCAAAATAAACCCTGACACTTTAACCAATGTAAGGAGAGTTTACTCGCACGTGACTTGTTTTAGCTCTTTTGGTCCGATTAGAAACTTTGCAATGTGAAAGCGAACCGCTCCAAGAGCAAAGAGCAACAATGTAACAATTGTAATCTCTGCTTCGGAACAACTGAATCGATTCACAGGTGTGAAAGCACCCTAAACAAATATAGCTTACGGGGGCTAATAATATTGACCTTAAAATGTTTTTAAAAAAAGAAAAACTGCTTTTGTTCTAGCCGAAATGAAATCAAATAAGGCTTTCTCCAGAAGAAAAAAATATAGGAAATACTGAGAAAAATTCTTTGCTCTGTTAAACATCATTTGGGAAATATTTGAAAAAGACAAATTCACAGGAGGGCAAATAATAAACTGTATATGCGTATTATGTACAAAACAGAAACAAGAGGATTTTTTTGTGTCTTTCGTCTTATAGGTACCGCTCTCCTGCCTACCATGTTCAGGCATGGTATGATGAGGTGAAGGACTACACTTATCCTTACCCACATGAGTGCAACCCTTGGTGCCCGGAGCGCTGTTCTGGCCCCATGTGCACCCACTACACACAAGTGAGTCTGTTTACAAACAATTATCCCAGTGGGACTAAACAACATGACCTTGTTTATGATGTGAAACCTCGCGTGCGAAGGTGTGCACGTGCCAGCCTGCCGTTCTCCTCACCAGCAGAGTTTAATAAGTAGCATGTGTGACCTGCATTAAAGCAGAAGCAGCATATGGAGTGCAGCCTTGACCACTGGGGTTCATTAATCTCCCACCAAAACAGTGTCATGTAACATACAGTGCATCCGGAAAGTATTCATAGAGTTTCACTTTTTCCACATTTTTTTATGTTACAGCCTCATTCCAAAATGGATTCAATTAAATTATTTCCTCAACATTCTACACAGAGGATGTTGTGCGCTCTGCTTCACCGAGTCTGGTGAAGAAGGGTTCCAGAAAGCCGCTAAGACAAAAACAAAAGCTAGAAAATAAAATAAGCAAGTAAAAAACATGGTGAAAAAATCTGAAAACGTGGTAAAACTCAGGGGAGGACTTTTCTTTTTCTGGATTGCTTTTTAAAACATTAAAGGGCCATGAAACCCCCTCGTTTCAGCAGGGTGTTTTCACACCTCTACTTTGGAAAAAGTCAGAAAAGTGGGCGTGTCCAGCTCTGTTTAGGGGGGAGTGTCGGAGGAAGAAAAGAGGCTTGGTGTGGGGGTGTCTATTTGGGCACGCGCGAGTTTCAGAGTCAAAATACACACCCACACACACACACAGTATAAAAGTGATGGTGTTTAACCTACATGGACATCTGTAGTCAAATTATTTGCCAAATTATTAAATGGTGGACTTTAACTGCAGTTTGGCTCTTTCATTCAGGGAATTCATTCATGCCCCTCGCGACAAACGAGATATTTGATTCGAGGAATTGCTCTAAGCGTGTATTTTTCATGCAATGTTTGATACCGCACGGCGAATGAGAGAAAAAAAAACTCTGCATTTCCCGGAAACTTAGATGCACACGGCAGGTAGCGTTAGAAAGCCGCGTGTGTTATTCCGGTCACTAAATGCGGTAAAAACCCTACACGAGGTTAAAGTTTGGTTGTGATGCTAACGTGTTTACACTCGGTGACTCGGTGCAATAGTTAACTTAGTTCGATACGAGCAAACTGAATAAACAAAGAGCACTGGTCGCTCACTTACCAAATCTGTAGAGACAGGACAATCACCAGCAACTAGAGCCGCGTCTTTATGAAGAGAATACTATAAGCGAATCTGGATCTCAGCGTTTGCAGATGAGAACAGCTCTCAGGTAAACAATAATCCTCCTTAGACATGAAAGTTATTGTTGTCGCGCGTCGCGTACACTGTTAATCCACACGTGACGCCAGCTGAACTCTCACAGAGAGAAAATGAAAACGAAACTTAACTGCAGCAAACTATAAAAGCAACACTTCACGCTTGTTTTGCCAACACAACGTGGCGTCTCTGTCCTGAAAACACGGTGACAGTAATGAATATTAATGAAGTTGCACAATAGAGCGCGCTGATTGGTTTGAACCAAGCCTTACTCATGCATTAATGCAGCACACTGTAAGACGTAATAAGACACACTCTGGCACAGACGTCCAGTCTGCACGCTGGAATACACGCTATTATGTCATGACCGTGACGCAGCTTCAAAAATTCGTTTCAAACAGGAAGTACGAATTTGCTTGAAATAACACAAAAACAACCAATTTACACTTTTTAGTGAAATATAGGTGTCCTAATAGTGTTTTTAGCAGTGTGGGACGCATATACGACTGTCAACAGCTCAAAAAATGTGTTTTGGTGTTTCGTGACCCGTAAAGGTTGGGTTTAAGGAAAGGGGTGGGCAACTCAGTCGTTGCTTTTTAAATTGTTATTGGTTGGGTTAAGGGAAGGAGAAGGGTGGGGGGATCGGTTGATTGGTCAGCAAGAAAGTCAGTGGACAGCGGCCTCTGGTGGATTTAAGTGTAAACAAAAACTGCAAAAAAAAACGTCTCTCCCGGGACGTATTTTGCCGTCTCCAGAAATGTATATAGGGATACGTAATCAGAATGAGCTTGAGTTGGTGATGGCCAAAATTGGAAATGATATTCAAATATGTAATATGGATACTGTCAAAACATATTTAACATGGCTGATCAAGCAGATGCGATGCACAAACAAAAGCAGAGTGGGAAAGAGATGCCAAGTAACGTTTTTGAGAGAGAAAATTGAAGATTATACAGTTACAAAGTAAGAGGGTTTAAGCAACAGACTTTAATTCATGGCTGGGATGAGTTTGTAAAAATACACGTTAGCTCAGCTCGCTGGCCCTCGAAAGCAGGTCACGAGCATCTGGAAGCTGTTCCCAGACTCCTGAATCATTTTTCTATTTGACCCGAATTCCTTTGAAGATCCAGAACGCAGAGTTGTTTGGGGATCCCCGCCAAAATCTTTTTGTTTTCACGTGCTGTGCGTTTGGAGGTCTGGAGGGCCTCAACATCTTCTTACTGCCAAACCCTCCATCAGGAATAAACTGTTTGGAGACTGATTAGTTTGCGGTATCATTAGCCGGGTTTCCATTCTAACATGAAGTGAATCTTTTTAGTTTACCAAAAAAATTAAAAAATCCAACATTGGCTCATTCTGAAAACGTAGCCCTATATACATTTCTGAAGAGCGTGAATTGTGTAGCCAGAGGTATGTATGGCTGTATTTCATCTTTAAAATGAACGCTACAAGGTGGTATGATGCCAATTCCTGAGACAAAAACTGAATCCAGGCTAGGGCTTTTCTTTTTCTGAATTGCTTTTTAAAACTGTTGGTTGGGTTTAGAGCAAGTATATATGGCCCTGGATTGACTCCATAGATGTTGGACTTAAAATAATTGTTTGCATTAGCCAAACCTGATTAGCTTGGTCCTCAAGCATTTTTTGATAGGTTATTTTCAAAATTTATGATGGCATAGCAGTCAAAATAGGACAAATGAGCTCATGTATGGGACAAATTTTGGATCTTTGTTAGTAAAGGGTGAGTCTTTCGAACCAACCGAACCCCCCTGGCTACGGGCCTGCATTGTATAATGATGGTTTGTTCTTTAGACAATCAAAAATAAATATATTGCTTAAGGGGGCTAATAATATTGACCTTAAAATAGTTTAAAAAAATTAAAAACTGCTTTTATTCTAGCTAAAATAAGACTTTCTCCAAAAAAAAAAAAAAATTATCTGAAATACTGTTAAAACTTCCTTGCTCTGTTAAACATCATTTGGGAAATATTTAAAAAAGAAAAAAAGGCTAATAATTCTGACTTCAACTCTATAAGAGGGTCTGAGTAAGCACTTCCCTTTCATTTGACAGTTAAATTGTTTGGCTCCTGCTGCATTGCTGCACCCGCTGAACTCTATTGTGTTTAAGCGAATTAGTGAGGTTCTCGACCGCAACTCAATGGGCTGCACGCAGGCATTACTGTGTTTGTATGTTCAGGAGTGGATGAAGCGAATGATCACACACGTTTTTTCAGGAAACTGGCCTGGTCACACTTGAGGTGCTTCTCTTTCCGGCCTACAGGGCAGAATGAAAGGGGGCAGTCTGTATCTGGCGGCCCCTGTGGCCCCATCAATCCACCGTCGCTGCTCCAAAACGGAGATACTTCCTGCTAAGTAACACTTCCGATATGGGTGTCTTTTTTTATGCTTTCAACAACAACAGCAGCAGCAAAGAGAGTTGCATCTTTTATGCATGCCGAAGGAAAAGCTATTTGATCCCATTATACAGCTGAAGTCTGTCATTTTTATTTTTATTTTTTAATGATGTTTAACAGAGCAAGGAATTTTTCACAGTATTTCCTATAACATTTTTTCTTCTGAAGAAAGTTTTATTTGTTTTATTTCGGCTGGTTTAAAATTTTTTTAAAAACGTTTTAGGGTCAATATTATTATTTTAATTTTTGTTTTCAACCCAGGCTAATTCTGAAAACATATTCCCGTGGACTTTTCTGGAGACCATCTGCAGCATAAAGTGTTACCAATGGTTTTAAACAGAAGTTTTGAACACGAAACAATGCAGTCCTTCATTCATTTTCCTTCGGCCTAGTCCATTATTAATCAGGGGTTACCATAGTGGACTGACCAGCCAACTATTCCGGCATATGTTTCATGCAGTGGATGCCCTTCCAGCCACAACCCAGTACTGGGAAACACCCATACATTCTAACAATCACTCTTACACACTACGTGAAGTTTATTTATAAACAAATTTCGAGAGGATCACGTGCTTATTATTGTTCACAGCTGTTCCAACTTTAGCTAATGACTGATTATCCTATCAGACGATCCTTAACTCACTATAAATAACCAGACTTTTCTCATCTCAATATCTTCGCCTTGAAGAAACCCCCCCACCCAACCCTACTTTCCCTCCTTTCAAATGGGCGTCACGGTGGCCAGCGATTAGTGCTGTTGCCTCACAGCAAGAATGCCCCAGGTTTAATTCCTTTCCAAACCAGACGGCATTTCTGTGCGGAGTTTGCTTGTTCTCCCCGTGGTCGCGTGGGTTTTCCCCGGGTCCTCCGGTTTCCTCCCACAGTTCCAAAACAAGCACTCTAAACTATAAATCCAAATACTTTAGCTAAACTCTGAGTACACCTTTCAGCATCCATATCTGACACTTAGCTACAACAAGCAAGAGGAAGAGTCATCGAGATCTACCTGAGCTCAAACTCCCCTCTCGCCTTGCAACTGGAGGGAGCCCAGGGCTCGAGGATCTTATAAGCTCAGGGCTCTCTCCCGGGACAGCACGCCAAACTAGCTTTATTATCAATCATCAGCTAAGTGTGAACTCTTGAAGGTCAATTTAGTTAATCTATTCACCTCTACCACATGTCTTTGGACTCTAACACGGGGAGAACATGCAAACCCCACACAGAAACGCCAACTGGTCCAGCTGGGACTTGAACCAGCGACTTGTTTGTTGTGAGGCGACAGTGCTAACCACTGAGCCACCAAAGCAATATATTCTGAAACTTTAATATATATATCAACCTTTAGTTTACATATTAGTACATCATTAGTCATGTATTGTTATTTTAAAGTGTTATTGAACCACTTGAATTTAGAAATTGTCGTTGTTTTGGAGGACTATCCCTTTAATAATGCTGTGTTATTCTTTGTTTGCAGCTGGTCTGGGCCACGACCAATCGTGTGGGGTGTGCCGTGCACGTGTGTCCGCGTATGAACGTTTGGGGAGAGATCTGGGAGAACGCCGTGTATCTCGTCTGCAACTATTCGCCCAAGTAAGACCGCCTGACATCGATTTACTAAACAGCAGATGGCTAATTACTATTCCTGCTGACGATCCCATGGAACAAACCTTTCAACCGTTTCATCCCGAGGAAAGTGGAAAAGTACAGTAAATGAACGTTTGTCTAGGAAAGGAAAACACGCGGCTATTCTTTTCCAAGCTAACGATTTAATTTGGCAGCGGCGGGATTGTTTTGCTAAATTATATTAAATTGAGATCCGTGAGAGTGTGTGATTTAATGTGTTTCCAATGATCAGTCAAATGTGTGGCTTGTGCAGTACTTTCCAAACCCGTGCTGAACCTGTGACCTCTTTTTATAGGGGAAATTGGATCGGGGAAGCACCGTACCAACATGGCCGTCCCTGTTCCCAGTGCCCACCAAGCTATGGAGGAGTGTGTAGAGATAACCTCTGTTATAAGAGTGAGCACTGATTAAAAGAAATGGTAACACTTTACTTGAAGGGGTGTTCATAAGACTGTCATGAGACCTTGCTGGTTCCCATGAAAGGTCGCTGGTTTGAGTCCTGGCTGGGCCAGTTGGCATTACTGTGTGGAGTTTGCGTGATCTTCCTGTGTGGGTTTCCTCCAGGTGCTTCGGTTTCTCCCACAGTCCAAAGACATGAGCTATGAATTGGATAAGTGTGTGTGTGTGTGTGAATGTGAGAGTGTGTGGGTGTTTCTCAATACTGGGTTGTGGCTGGAAGAGCATTCGCTGAGTAAAACACATGCCAGAGTAGTTGGCGATTCATTTCACTGTGGGAACCCCTGTAAAATCAGGGACTAAGCCCTGTATATGATGTATTTGTTTGTGCCATAACTTTCCCTGTAATGGGTTACTGCTGAAAGGGCAAACGCTGTATAAAACATATGCCATAATTGGTGGTTCATTCCGCTGTGGTGACCTCTGAAATAGAGACTAAGCCAAAGTAAAATGAATGAATGAATGAAGTTGCCATAGCAAAGACTCCTCAAACAATGTCAATTTTGAGTTTAAAATGACACTGAGCGAATGACTCTTAATGACAGTTGTCATATAGTTGGCGATTCATTCCGCTGTGGTGACCCCTGATGAATCAGGGACTAAGCTGAAGGAAAATGAATGAATCTATGAATGGATTTTGCTCATGTTTATGATAACTGTCATTAAGTGTCATTAGCTCAGTTGTCAGTTTAAAGTTGACATAAACAAGTACATCATAACTTGTCATAAATCTGTCATAAACATGATTGTCATGGGGCCATTATAACTGTGTCATAACTTTTTTCTTGACCCCTTGAAATTTAATTTGACATTTAAATGTCATTAAACCTGATTAAATATATTATATTGACATTGTTATAAAATTATTTCACACAGTATTGACATTTTACTGAATGTTTTTTCCACTCAAAAAAGCGATCAGAACAATAATCATGACAGAATCGTAACGGTCTCGTTAAAAAATCATGTTTATGACAGATTTATGACAAGTTTTGTTGTCTTGATAATGTCGAGTAGTCATGACAGGTCAAAGACAGGTCATAATGTATTTGTTTATGCCATAACTTTACCAGTAATGGGTTACTGCTGTAAGAGCTAATGCTGCATAAAACATATGCCGGAATAGTTTGTGGTTCATTCAGCTGTTGTGACCTTTGAAATAGAGACTAAGCTAAAGGAAAATGAATGAATGAACGAATGAATTAAATTTTGCTCATTTTATGACAACTGTCATTAAGTGCCATTAGCTCAGTTGTCATTTTAAATCTAAAGATGACATTGTTTAAGATGTCTTTATAACAAGTTGACATAAACAAGTACATCATAACCTGTCTTTCTCTTTGTAAAGACAAGTTGACATTACCATGACAACATAAATCTGTCATAAACATGATTGTCATGAGGCCATTATAACTGTGTCATGACTTTTTTAATGACGTCATTAACTTTTTTCTTGACCCCTTGAAATGTATTTATTTTTGACATTAAAATCTCATTAAACCTGATTAAATATTATATTGACATTGTTATAAAATTATTTCACACAATAATGACATTTTATTTGAATGTTTTTTTCCACTCAAAAAATACAACCCAAGCTCATTCTGAAAACGTAGCCCCGCGGACGTTTCTGGAGACCACGATTTACGTGGCCGGAGGTACATATGGGCGCATTTGTTTTTTTCGAGCGAACGCTACGTGGCGGTGTGACGCCGCCCCTCTTCTTCGCACTCACTCCCCGGCTGCGACGGCTCACTCACCTCCGTGTGGAGGGCTTTCCCACCGTAACCAGTTTGTCCGCTTAGCTCCCTGTGTTACGTTGGCGGAGCGGAGGCCCTGAGGAGGAAGAGCCGGTCGCGGCGACAAGTCCGGGGGATAGCAGTTCAAGAAATCTGGTAAGATGAAGAAACAGAATCCAAAAAATATAAGCGAACGAGTTGGTGACAGGGTGGGAATGCGACGAAATCTGAAAGCGCGCTCAAAATCGGACGAGGGCTTTTGCTTTTCTTTTCGGGACGGCTTTTGTAAATCGTTGCTTGGGTTTAGGGAAGGTGGCCGGGTCGGCCTATTTTCCGATCGGCCTGCCGCCCGGTTGATCATTCAGTCATTCAGTCGGTCGCTCGACAATGGCGTCTGGCGGCTTTTCGCGCGAGAACAGCACACGCTCTCAAGAGGCGTTCGAGACGCGAAAAAGCACGGCGCAGCCGCCTCTCATGGATACGCAAAAACAAAAACTGCACAAATACGTACCTCCCGGGACGTATTTTGCGGCCTCCAGAAACATCCGCAGGGCTACATTTCCACGATGAGCCCGAGTTGCAAAAATAGCAATCAGAACAATAATCATGACAGAATCGTAATGGTCTCATGACATTCATGTTTATGCCAGATTTATGTCAAGTTTTGTTTTCTTGCTAATGTTGAGTTGTCATGACAGGTCATGATGTATTTGTTTATGCCATAACTTTACCAGTAATGGTTTGCTGCGTAAAACATATGCCGAAATAGTTGGTGGTTCATTCTGCTGTGGCGACCTTTGAAATAGAGACTAAGCCGAAGTAAAATGAATGAAGTTGCCATAGCAAAAACACCTCAAATAATATAAATTTTGAATTTAAAATGACACTGAGTGAATGACTCGTAATGACAAGTGTCATGAACATGCATTATGATTATAAAGGTGTCTTTATTGTCCTATAAACACCTCATTCAAGTAAAGTAATACAAAAAGAAAACAAAAAACGGTTCAAATGTTTTACACATTTAAACTCTAAATATTAATTCATGATTCGTTATTAGGAGACTCTGAACGTCAGGAGACTCCAGAAATGAATGAGGTGGAAAAACCTCAGGAGCCGCTTCAGCCCAGAACTACTCCCCCCAAACCCCAGCCCAAACCATCATCACCCAAAAAACCTGCAAATGCCAAGCCTTCCTCACCCAAGACGACCAGGAATACCTATCTGGGTAAGTGTGAATATTATTTCTTGGTCACAAACACATTTACTAACATTACAGAATGTAAGCTTACTGTAAAGTGTTGAAGTCTAAAGTATAATACAAATTTTAAATGTCTTAACAGCAACAAATGATAATCATTATTTTATTGTCATAAATATGATTCTTAATTATTAACATGTTGATAACTGGATCTTTGTCATTAAATAAAAATTAAATAAAAAAAAACTTTAAGCACAAAAATGTTGTTAATAATATTAATACTAGTATAATAATAAACAATAATAATAATACATTATTAATAATATGAATAATAATAATAATAATAATTGTTTTTAAAGTTTTTTATTCATTTAAAATGAATGATTATAAATAATAAGCACAATGATAGCAATTATAAATTATTATTATTAATACAATAATAATAATAATAATAATAATAATAAAATGAATGATTTAAATGTAATTTAAAATGATTATAAATAATAAGCCCAATAATAGCAATTATACATTATTATTACTATTATTAATAATGTATTTATAGACATTAATAATAATACATTTTTAATAATAATAATAATAATAATAATAATAATAATAATAATATTAATAATAATAATAATAATAAAATAATTACAGCAAAAATAAATAACTACTACTACTACTACTACTATAAAGTATTATAATTATTTATAGACATTATTATTATAATTTTTCATATATTATGATTTTCTTCAAAGGATGTAATTAGTAATAAAAACAAAATCGAAAAAATAATCAATTCATCAGTTGTGTAACTTTGCTAAAAATGAACATTTATATGAAGTAATAGTAATATAAATATAATTTAATATACCAGGATTAATATAATTTAATAAAACTATATGAATATGTGAAACTATACTAATAGTTTAGGCGCTTCATTCCGCTGTGGTAAGCCGAAGGAAAATGAATAAATAAATAATAATTTAATCTTTTTTTTTCCCTTTTGCTTGTCAGCCCAAAATATCAAGTGTGAGACAAAAATGAGGGACAAATGTAAAGGAGCAACCTGCAATAGGTCAGTCGAACACTATTCATCATTCATTTTAGGATATTAATACATTTCAAACGTTCAGAAATTAACTGGTAATTTTTTTCTTCTATAACAGGTACAACTGCCCAGCAAACTGCTTAAATAAGCAGGGGAAAGTATGGGGAACGCTGTACTATGATGTTGTAAGTCATACTCTCTACTCTTTTTTATGATGATGATGATGATGGTAGTTTTATTCATTAATTTTCATTTAATTTTTATTCGTTAATCAATAAATTTTCTTTCTCCTTTTGTGTTTGCAGCAATCGAGTATTTGCCGTGCTGCTATTCACTATGGAGTAATTGATAACAATGGAGGACTTGTGGACGTCACGAGAAAAGACAGCTTCCCGTTCTTCGTAAAGGCAACCAAAAACGGCGTAGAGTCTTTCAGGTAATCAGAAAATAACCGTAAATTAGCAGTTATCTGTATTTTGTGATTCATGTTTTTATTTATTTATGCTTATGAATTTTATAAGGGGATCTTGATCTTTCTTCCAACAACTTTTAACCTTGAAAAGTTGGAAAAAAAAAAAGTTTTTATTGTAATTATGTCACGTTCGGTGATGGGAAAAAGGAGCGAGGACCCAAGCGCGGAGTAAATTGGATTTTATTAAATAATAAAAATAAAATAAAATGCAAAATAAACTACCCCGAGGGGGAAAACACTAATAAAACAAATAAACAAACAAACAAACAAACTTGACTGGGCAGGCAAGACAAGGCAAGGCTGGACACAGCAGGACAGGTAAAGATTTACAACATGTGATGACGAACTCGCACAGGACAGCAGACATGAGGGGTTTATAAACTGTAGGAAATTAACACACAAACAGATGAACATAATTAACTAATAATGGGTTAACAAGGAGGGTGGGACTAGACAATAGACGGAAGAGCGCATGACACAGAGACAAGACATGCCATGCGCTCACATAAAACAGGACAAGAACATGCAGCCAATGAGAGAACTCATTAACCGCATGTTCACGACAACACAAGCACAACACTGAAGCACACAACAAAAGCACGTGACCACCATGTAAACACATAGCCACGTGCTTTGACAACAGACACGAGCACACGATGAATGAAAACTCTCACCGTGCACTCACACACGCAGCGTGCATGCTTCATCCCAGCGCCGACCAAAACTGAAACCAACTAGACTAAGACGCTGGGAATGAAACACCACACTGCAGACAGACGAAAACACAAACACTAGTACAAGAGCGCGCGTGTCGGAGGGTCATCAAGCGGGAGCACGCACGCTCTGCGCACACCCACGAAGGCGTGCGCACACGGGAAGACACACAAAATGACAGAAACAAGTGCTCGACCCAACAAAACTTGAGCCAAGCACAACAAGACAGGACTAGACATGACTAGTGTCCGGATTCCGCCACCAAAACAAGAATTTACATGACCAGAGTGGCAGAACCCCGACAAATTAATTGTTACCAAAACACACAGGCTGAAAAAACTATATAATGAAACATATCAGTTCACAAACCCCCACCCCCCTCCCCTGCGGTCTCTTGAAACAGGGGTATCCAATGAATAGAAGTTAACATAAAAACAAAAACAGAACACAGTATCAAATATCATTTATACAGAGCAAGGCAATCATTCTGGATCCTGATAATTTCTTTGTGCTATAAACGCAGAGATTTTGTCAGCAGCTGAAGTCCAGATCTTTAATGTACGCATTTGTACCAAGTTCACTCGTGCCGTGGATAACTCCAACAATATAATGTCCTGAAGTTGTACCGACCACATGTCCAAATTATGTAGAGGCAGCCAATGTTGGGCTAGTAATTTTTTACCAGAAGTTAAGCCAACCACCCAAACAGCTTTTTGTATCTTAATAAGGATCAACGTAGAATCATAACCCTGTTATAGAACAGATGGATTCACTAGTACAGGATATTCAATAATTTTGGATAAGATGACTCAGACCCCATTCCAAAATCTTTGTACTTTGTAGATATGGAAAAAGATCCAAGTTCCTGGTCAGGGCATTTATCACAGAAAGGACTAAAGGAGGCATTGATACGATGTCTTTTGAGTGGGGTCCAGTAGGTTCTATGACAAAAGTTATAGTGAATGAGTTGGTGATTGGGATTTTTAGATGAAGTAATTATGTTCTGCCATACTCTTTCCCAGTCCGTGACACCCTCTTCTAGTTGACAGTCAGTTTTCCAAATGCGCTGTATAGCTAATTTTTTTGCTGTACCCCCTAAGGCCTTTCTGTACATCCATGGGAAAAAAAGGACTTTTATTGAGATTTTTAATTGTGTAAAGTGATATATCGTCTGGGTCAGTGTTGTATATTATGCTACAAATACCTTGTAATGAACTGCCAGTACTGTTTCTGTTATTTTACTTATTTCTCTCTATATTATTTTTATACATTATTTCAAACTACTTAAATGTCAACAAAAGTCCCTTTGTTAAACTGTAAAGTTGAATTTTCATCATCTAAAGTTCCATCCCATAATGCAATTCACAACCGTAAATAAGACTTCAAATAACAAAATACTGTTGATAAGAGACATTTTTACAGTGTAGTAGTTCTTTTAATTCAGTTTTAGGATGGTGATTAACGGCGTCTGTGATTTTTATTTTCAGTAAATATAAAGCTGGCAATGCATTTATGGTGTCAAACGTGCAAGGTGAGCAGTTTCTGTCTTAACTTATTAATTGATGTTAGAATGATATTAATAAATGTTTTGACCAAGTATGTGTGTTTTTCTCTCTCTTTAGAGCAAACAATAGACTGCTACGCTACAGTGGCTGAGATTTGTCCCTTCAAGTCGACCACCTCACATTGTCCAAGGTAGAGTTCAAGTATTATAAACATGCGATACAACACACAGGGTAACTATTAAGACTAAAACTATTAAGTTGTCCCAAAAATATCTCAATAAATGTGTAGTTTCAGCTCATTTTAAGTAAGTATTTTGACACAAGAAGGTCGCTGGTTCTAGTCCCGTTTTAGTGTAGGTTTCTTCCGGGTGCTCCGGTTTCCTCCACAGTCCAAACATATGCGCTATAGGTGAATTGAATAAACTAAATTGACCGTAGTGTATGAGTGGGTGAATGTGAGAGTGTATGGGTGTTTCCCAATATTGGGTTGTTGCTAGAAGGCCATCCACTGTGTGAAACATATGCTGGATAAGTTTGCGGTTCATTTCGCTGTGGCGACCCCTGATGAATAAAGGGACTTGGCCAAAGGAAATGAATGAATGAATGAATGAATGAATGAATGAATGAACAATGAGCAGAACCAGTTTTTTGAGTGTATAAAGAACTCTACATTAGGTTAATATGATGCACTGTCCTCATTATATTGCACTTTATCATTTTCTTCAGAGTGTTCTGTCCTGCAAACTGCATTAATGAACCTTCATATTGGGCTCCAGTGGTCGGCAGCAACATTTACGCTGATGTGAGTATCTGCTTCTTTCATCACAGCTAACAAAGACTCGCTTGATGGCATCGATGCAACACAGGCTTTATGTGAAAACGTACCCCCGTATACATATCTGGAGAGCGTGAATTATGTAGCCAGTGCTACGTATATGGCTGCATTTTGTCTATTTTAAATGAATGCTATGGGGCGGTATGATGCTGTCGACAGCTTCTGTTTCTTTTCGCGGTTTCATTCATTATATTCGTTTACTTGCCGAACGACAGTTGGCATGGTACATCGAGTGGTCTCACCACTAGGGGAGGGAAGACCCAGCACACCATCCATAATATAGAACCACAGAATTTCTCCGTTAATAACTCCCCAGAGCATAATTACGATTTAAAATATTAAATATTCATCTAAACCATTTTAATTTATGACTTAAAAAATTAAATAGACTTCTGATGAAGCTCTACCTTAAACTTTATTTTTAAAATTTTACTGCCGACAGCTTCTGTTTCTTTTTGCGCTACCAGCTGACCACTTACCTCCATGTTGATGGCTTTTCTGGTGTTACCAGTTTGCCCAATGTCTCGCCGCATACGCTGGCGGACTTAAGACGCAAAGAGGAGTTGACCGCGATGAAAGGTTTCTGTGAAGAACGGTTTCAGAAACCAGCTAAAACAAAAGACCAAAAATAAAATAAACAAGTAAAAACAGGGTGAGAACGTTGTAAAATCTGAAAACGTGATATAAATCAGGCAGCCACGAGGGCTTTTCTTTTTCTAGATTGCTTTTGAAAACACTATTGGTTGGGTTTAGAAAAGGGGGAGGGTGGGTCAGTCGATCGATCGGTCAGTAAGTCGACAGCGGCCTCTAGTGGATTTATGCGAGAAGAGCAGGTGCGAATGACACTCGCGAGAGAAGTTTGAGATCTGAAAAAGTCTCTAGTCTCTAGTGGATTCGCGAAAACAAAAACTGCAAAAAAATAACCTCCTGGGACGTATTCCGCACTGTAGAAAAGTATGCAGGGGTAGATTTTAAGAATGAGCCTGGGTTGCATTTTTGGGCTTACATGAGAATAAAACATTTATATTTGAAAAAAGACATCTATTATTGGATTTGATAATTATACTACTAATAATAAACTCCTACTGTGTTTGGTCCCTGCCTGAACTTACATTACCAGACATTTGTTAAGTAAGGGATAAAATACATCTAGGAGGTTATTATCGCAGAATATATTTAAATATATATTTATATTTTATAAGGCTGAAGGGCTTTATTCTGGGAAAACAACCATCCTAGATGTAATTTATCACCGCCTATTACATGTATACTTAAAAAAAAATAACATAAAAAACATTAAAAAATAGACACAACATTGTTCTGAGCTGTAATAGTTTATCAACTATCAATAGTTTCTTAACTGTACAGCACAAACGGACAGAAACAGGTGATGGAATATACACTAACCTGCGCATTATTCAGTCACAAGATGGCACCAAACAGTCAACTTTGCAAAGCTGACAGTATCGAAATGGCTAAATAAAGCATATACAATCCTAAGTATTATTCATTCACAAGAAAAAAACAGAGACTTGCAGATGCATATGAATGTGAATGCAAGTATTCTGTATAGATTTGAGCGTATTCACTGACGATCAATGAGATTTGAAGTTCCCAGATGAGCCTGTGTTATTTAGTGGTTGTTATCTGGGAATAACACACCTTGGAATGTTGCGACCGACCAATCAGGATTGAGTATTCCAGACAGTCGAGCAATAATGGGTTTTAATAATGTTGCACATTACATTTTTTTAGCTACCTGTCTGTTAGTCAAGTGATATTACCAATCCAAGTCGACATTACCAAGCCGGTCATACATGTAAGAATAAGACATAAATGAAAACTGTAGAGGGTCTTCTTTTATTTCGGTTTAATCACAATTACAACAAAACAATGCAGTGGTGCATTTTGCTATCTCCCCAAAGGGTTAACACAGTGTTTCCCAACCCAGTTCTTGAAGGCACACCAACAGTACACATTTTCAACCTCTGCCTAATCAAAACACCCATGAATCATCTCATCAGAACATTAGAAGAGACCCCAGAACCTGAAATGAATGGTTCAGATAAGGAAGACATCCAAAATATGTGCACCAATACATATTGGTGTGCCTCCAGGAACAGGGTTGGGAAACACTGGGTTAACATTAGCATCACTGAACTGAAATGTTAATAATGTCGGTAAAGCACATCTCTTGTATTATCAATCAGTCAAGACACGTTTATGGAATGATAAGCAGTTTAGCATATTAACACCACCAGAGCAACATAACATAATCAAGCCATCTGCAGCACGACAATTCAGTCCAACAAATGGGGGTGTGACGTCACATGAGCTGGAAATGAGGGAGAACGGCAGTGGTAGTGGAGCACTTCTGAATGCGAAAGTGAGCGTGCTGCTCTTGTGGCGAGACTCGACCGCTGGAAGTGTGTGTGAGTCTTGGTGGACGAGGACTCCATTGTCGCCACTAATTTCTCTGACTGACCGCAGAACAGCAGCTGTGAGAGCGGCTCTCCTGCACTGACTCATGCATGCTTGAGGTCAGATCACAGCTCTTAACTGTTCAGCTTGGACAGTGTGACTTCATTATTCTGGTGAAGGACGGTTTCACAATAGAGATGAAAGCAATGTAAAATCAAGGTAAAACTGTGCTTGCAGTGCATTTTTCTCTTTTGTTTGCTTTTGAAAACACTCTAGGTTGGGTTCAGATGATCTAGTTGATCTACAAGCCCTGCCTTCTCCTGTACAAGAATGAAGGGTGTCTGAAACGTACAACAAATCATACCTTAAGCAATATATTACAGATTTGCAAAAATTAGAGACACTGCCCTCTAGTGGATTTGTCATCTGAAATGTACATTAAAATGTACCCGGAGCAACATACTTTACATTTTCAAAAATGTAGGCATATTCAATGAGCCTGGGCTCATATTTCCTCTCAAGTTCGACAGATAAAAGAAATCAATGAAGGTTTGGATCCACTTAAGTGAGTACATTTTCATTTTAGGCTGAACTATGTATTTCATTCACTCACTCTCAGCTAATCTAAGATGTAGGTGACTATTTTTCCCTCAGTATAACATCATCAGTCAAACGTCCTGCATTCTTGATGACATCATACAGACAGCGAAGTTCACGACACGGAAAGAATTTAGGAGTCAAAATCACATAATCCAACACAGTGACTATCATAACAGACGAAAATATTTGATATCCTGGCTTTAATTAAACCTGAGATTATCCGCAGTCCTGATAGCCAGCTGCTTTGTCTGCTATGGTGTGGAATGGCCTGGTTGTGTAGCGGTGTGTGAACTCAAATGAACCTATTGCCTTTTGGCCCTTTTGGCTTGTTCGGGCCACATTCCTGAGCGTCTGTGGAGCTGGCCTCAGATGAGAGCACGCTCTCCAGCAAACACTAATTAACCCTCATTATACAGTGGTTTGGACTTGGTTATTTTCTGAAGGTAGGTTTTGTTTGAAAGTGCACTTAAAGTCAATGCGTGAGCAATTAGATAGGTATTATAAGACGTGTGCGATGAGCTGTGAGCTTTTATTACTGGGGAGTTGTTTTGAGGACAGACGATGACAGGATTGAACCTTCTTTCCAGGTTAAGAGAAGTATCAGAGAGTTTATGCACACTGAGCTGTTCTGAAGTCAGGCTTCTGGCCCTTTTTGCCTTTTCTGGTGTTGCTCTTGCGTACTGTAGGCATCGCAGTGATGTCATTTGTCTGGGCTGCTTTACCTTGTTTACATCTTAAGGATTGTTGAATTGAGCAGGGAAACATAGTTGGGTAGTGCTATGTCAAGTATTACTCTTATCCATGCTGGACATTTGCTCTGATTTATGCTACAGATGTTTCAACGTTATTTTTGCCTAAAATTAGAAACAGCTTGTAGATTTTTACTCTAAAAATACAAATGCTGTGTTGTATTAATCTGATGTTGGGTCAAAAATGGTTTAACTAATATACAATCTGATTATTGTTCTCTATTAACTGTAAATTACTCTTTTTAAACAAATGTATTTTTGGCACAATTTGGGGTTAAAACAACTCAGCAATTAAATGCAAATGTTTTAATTAAATGTGAATGACACTTTTTAAACAAATGGTTAGGTTTGTCTTTTTTGACCCAACCTTGGGTTGAAACAACCTAGCAGTTTTAGAGTTTGTGATGGATGGTATGGGTGCTTCAACATTGATTTTTACTCTAAAAAGCTGGGTTGTATAAACCCCATGTTGGGTCAAAAACGCACCAACCAAATGTTAAAACGTTTTTTTTCAGTTAAAAAAAATGACACTTTTTAAACAAGGGTTGGGTTTGTCTTTTTGACCCAAACTTGGGTTGAAACAACCCAGCATTTTTAGAGTTTGTGATGGTTGGTATGGCTCCTTCAATATTATTTTTTAACGTTTGATATTATTTTAAAAGTTTGAACCAGTTTGTAGATTTTTACTCTAAAAAATACAAAATGGCTTCACATTGCTTAATGCACACAGGATGTACAGCAATATGCAAATATCTTTAAAGAAAAAGAGTAAAAGGATTAAAGTATTACAAAAATTATTATTTTCTACATAAATACAAAAAGCATGTCTGGGGCTTTTTTTCAGTTTATTTATGACAATTTGTTTTTGTATAATGTTATTATTATTATTAGTAGTAGTATTTTTTATTATATGCATATGTATTAAAAACAAGCTAAGATTTGTCTACCTGTCAGCTTTTGGACCATATGGTGCATAAGAACAGGATGTGTGTTTGGATATAGCTCCAATCCACACTTCTTGACCACACTTCATTATTATTGTTCATTTATGCGTTTGCTGAAAATTAGAACTGAATTTAGAAATAGTTTTGGAGCAAATCTTTATGCTTAACAAACAAAATTAAATATGTAGGCTAATGGGTGTCTTCAGCGGAGTGCACACAACACCGTTTCCTTTTCCAGGAGAGAGAGAAAGTAAAGAGGCTGAATGGAGGAGGCTCGTTCTTTATCCTTGCGCTGCAGTTGGTCTGTTTAACTGTTTTCTCGCTAGTGAAGCGCTCAGTTTTTCCACTTACAAAATCCGCCATGTAAATAGCAAATGCACCATGGCGCAACTCAACTGACTCCTAAGGGGAATGGGAGAGGAGACTCTGATTGGTTTAATGCACATTGTTCAACACACACACCCATAACTCGATAAGAGAATAAGCCACACTGTATTTTTCTGTGCTTAAATTAGCAAAAGTAGATTTGGACACACCCTTAATGCTTTTGCGCCATGCGCTTTAGACTTTGCAACTAGATCTGTAAAATAGAGCCCAAAGTGTTTTGACCTACTGTCTATCTGTCGGTCACTGTTAGCCAGTAACTTACTTTCTAGTTTTTTTTTAGGGGGCTAATAATATTGACCTTAATAAGGTTTTTAAAAATTGAAACCTGCTTTTATTCTAGCCGAAATAAAACAAATAGGACTTTCTCCAGATGAAAAAAATATTATAGCAAATACTGCGAAAACTTCCTTGCTCTGTTAACGATCATTTTGGAAATATCTGAAAAAGAAATAAAACTCACAGGAGGGTGAATAATTTTGAATTTAACTGTATATTTTCCAGTATGAAGGTCGGCGGAGTTACTTATAAACACCTCTCTGAAGGAGTCTAGCGTGTAGAGTGTGTCCTCTAAAAGAATACTCTTTTGTCTCCTCATGTCCAGGGCTCCAGTATCTGCCGAGCGGCAATCCACGCTGGAGTGATCAAAGCCAGCGGAGGATATGTGGATCTCCTGGCTCTGGATAAGAGGAAAACTTACACCGGCACCTTGAAGAATGGCATTCAGTCGGAGAGGTACCTGTCCTGCATCTCTTGTTTCCTTCCTTCACATTCACTGCAAAAAAACAACAACCATAAACACGAGAACTAAATGAATGATTTAAGAAGAGTCTAGATACTAGAAACAAGCCAAAATGATCTGCCAGTGCAGTAAGATAATTATATTTAATATGATAAAATAAGAGGGGCGACATGGTGGTGTCCTCACAGCAAGAAGGTCACTAGTTTGAGCTGGTTCTGTTTCTGTGTGGAGTTTGCATGTACTCCCCGTGTTCGCGTGGATTTCCTCAGCGTGCTCCGGTTTCCCCAACAAGTCCAAAGACGTGCAATAGGTGAAATGAATAAACTAAATTGGCCGTAGTGTATATGTGTACATGAGTGTGTGAATGAGTGTATATGGATGTTTCCCAGTACTGGGTCGTAGCTGAAAGGGGATTTGCTGTGTAAAACATTTGCTTTATAAGTTGGTGGTTCATTCCACTGTGGCGACCCCTGATGAATAAAGGGACTAAGCCAAAAGAAAATGAATGATAAAATAATGGGTTCAAGCAGGGCTTTACATTAACTTTTTTAATCACCGGCCACTGTGGCTAGTAGTTTTCCAATGTTACTAGCCACTCTGCATTTTCACTAGCCAAAATTTTGTTGATATGCTAAAATTACTTGATTTAAATTTTGTGTTATGTCCACATGCATCCTCATTCATTTCCAATTTTGTGTGTCGATTATGAGCTTGCCCAAAGAGCATGAGCAAATAGGTCATGGATTCATAGTGTTATATTGCAATTAGTTTTTATTTCACATGACTTTTTTTAAAGCTCAAAATTAACGATGTACCAAATTTATCTCTATAACCACATGAAACAATAATTATTTTTTAGCCACAAAATATTAATGGGTCAAAACAAGCAAAATATAGCTGTATACTATACTTTTTATTTAACAAAACATTTCTTAAAAAAGAAAGAAAAGCAATTGACTTTTAAAAAATAATTATTGTCATGTATCAAAAATATGCACAGTAATCTGTCCTGGCTAAAGATCTCTTGGATCACCAGTTAACTGCACATAAATGGAGAGTTCATCTCCCATTAAAGCAATGTTGTAAAAAAAAAAACATTTTACAAAAATAAAAGCAAATAAAACCGTAAGCAAATGAAAGCAGGTGAAACATACCGTGTGTGATAATGAAAGAATGATCACATGCTCACGGTTAACTTTAGGCCAATTGATAATAGCTGCGTCCCAAATCGCATACTTATGCACTAGGGTTGGGCATCTAAGCTATAATGCCGATCCGATACGCATCTCGATACAAAGAATACGATCCGATATATTAGCGATACATTTGTGACATATTGCGATGCAACACGATACGATTCACACCCATATCACGATACGATGCGATATTTCAGCACTAACTAATTAGATCAAGTTTATGAGATGATGTGAAAGAGGATGCTGTGCCATTGAATGAGTTTGATTATTTATAAACCAAGCAAAACCAAGACTTTTTTACAAACTGGCTCTTCTCTCAGAGCCAGAGTGTCAGTTTACAGTAGAGGGCCATTTTAGAACATATAGCACATATTATTTAAGTATTTTCAAGATAAACAGAATGTATAAGTGCAATATATATTAAAAAATATGTATATATTTACACTCTTTCAACATAAATAAATTTAGCATTGCACAACAAGAATTGTGATTAAACTTTTCAACTATGAAAACAAGTTTTACAAAGATATATTTTGCCACTGATTATTCAAAACTTAAGGTCGTGAACTAGCAGTTATGCTGCGTTGAAACATCACTGTCACTGTAAACAACAGGCTAATAAAAATATAACAAACCAGCAATCTTCTTGCTGTGAGGTGGTCAAACTACCCACTGTGCCACCGTGACACCCAATTATTTTTATCATTATTATTATTAATATTATTATTATTATTATAATTAAATAAAAATTAACAGGAGGAGGTGTTTAAAACCTTCGTTCTCCGTGACACTAGGCTGAATATCTTTGCAGATGAACAATGCAATAGCATTCGTTATTGGCGTAGAGCGAGCAGAACTGTTGCGCATGGGAAAAAAAACTTGCAATGCTTTTCTCACCACTTTTGGAACTGGTTGAAGCAGTGCGAAAGCCGGGGATGCAGAAACACTGGAAGATGCTTCCTCAACAACACCGTGGCGCCGCTTCAAGTGAGATATCAGATTAGTCGTACTGCCCGCGTATTTTACAGATGCGCGGCACATTTTGCAAATTGCATCTGTCCTGTCATGTCGTCCATCCTTAAATCCATAATGTTGCTTGCCATACTTTAGATTTAAAACTCAGTGGGGAATATGTTTGTTTTGCTTCTCGCGCTTTCTGAGGGCGCACCACTAGCTTCATCCGCACACCTGATACACTGAGTTGTAGTGAAAGTGTACACATCCGCAAATCCGTTGCTAAGGCTTACTTTATGTAGGTCGATTAAATTATGCGCCAAAAACAGGTTGACAACACTTGTTAATAAATAAAAAATACATTCTATATTAAAAATATAAGCTGTATCTCGGAAAAATCGATGCATCTCGCAAAAACCGATGCATCTCGATTTGCTTCCAAAATTTCATTCATCCTCTGCTGCTCTACCGATGCACTCGCATCGTGCACGCGCATGACCGCGTATCGATACATATAGGTTAATCTTCCCATCCCTATTATGCACTATTCTACGCCATTTTGTAGTATAAATAGTGTAAGTAGTGCGTTCACACTGAAAACACTAAAAATAATAAGAGCACTTCAATTACCCGGATGATGCACTCATTCAGCCGCTAAAATAAGTGTGTAATGATGGACACTTCACGCACTCAACGACCGCAGGTTTGCTTACGTAGCGGAAGGGGCGGAGCTATCGGACGCACATGTTGAATAACTTTATTTATTTTGGATGGTGAAAGTAAAATTCTCCTACGAGAGTGATAATAGCGCCTCCCGATGGTGAATGCGGCAATACTCACGGCAGGTTTTATTTGATAGTTTGGTCATTTATTTCAATGATTTGGCAACCGTCAAACGTCATCAGGGAAACGGTTTGAATTTCCGCTTAGTAAAAAAACATTAGTGTGCCATTTGGGACAACACTACATACATATACTATCCTGTTGAGTGTGTAAGTGCATAAGTACATAGTGCATGAGGGCATAGTGTATAGTGTGCCATTTGGGACGCAGCTATAGTGTTCAAAGTAAAAGCAACCGGTGCAGCTTACAAAAAGACAAATTTTGAGCTCTTAAAAGCATCAGGACTGCGGGTGCATGTTCATCACTTTTTGTCTAGTTTATTTAAAAGAGAACCGATGACAGTTGCGTTTCCAAAACCTGTTCCAGACACAGTTGCTTCACGATTCGGGAGCGCGCACGCGTTAAGCAGTCGCGCGCACCCGTTTTAAGCAGCCGCGCGCATCACATCCTCCTCTCATTCGGTATTCATTTGCTTTCTTCTGCACGCGTGATCACAAATTCACAATTATTTTACTTCTCGATTCTAAGATCACATTTGCACGCATATTGGGTCATCCTTATATTGTCGAACCCTGCTTTTAGGAAAAGTACAATTTAAAAATTATTTTCAACCAGCCAAAGTGGCTAGTGGGATTGTCTGTCTAACCCGCCAAAGCTGAAATCTACCCGCATTTGGCGGGTTGGCGGGTGTTGATGTAAAGCCTTGGGGTTAGTTAGTGCCTCTGTCCTGCTGCGCTTCAGCAAAGTTCAGCATCACAAGCAAAATGACCACCTTGTGTCATATAAAATATATCGACCAATCAGGGTGGTTGTCAAGGCAGAATTTCAAGCGCAACCAATCATTTTAAACAGAGACATGATGAGTCATTTAAATAAATTAAAATGTTAAGTTAAAAGAGTATGGGATGACGTGAATAAAACCATTGCACTGCAAAAAATGCTTTTCTTGCTTAGATTTTTTGTCTTGTTTCTAGTCTAAATATCTAAAATTTCTTATATCAAGAGGCATTTTCTAGACAAGCAAAACATATTGCCTCGTTTTGAGAAATAATATGCCAACAATAAGTGAGTTTTTCCTTAAAACAAGCAAAATAATCTGCCAATGGGGTAAGCAAAATAATCTTGCTTTTTCTTTTGACGTAAGATTATTTTGCTTACCCCATTGGCAGATTATTTTGCTTGTTTTAAGGAAAAACTCACTTATTATTGGCATATTATTTCTCAAAGCAAGAAAATATGTTTTTCTTGTCTAGAATATTCTTCTTAATTTAGGAATTTTCAGATATTTGGACTAGAAACAAGACAAAAAATCTAAGTAAGAAAACCATTTTTTTTGCAGTGTGATCCATTTAGGTGGAACTGATTCAGATGTTTCTATCAGTCTTATAGTTTCTAAACACAAATTTAGTCACAGTAGCTAATACATATCCAAAAAACTACCAGACTGAAACAATTTTTTTTATTAAAATGTCACCTTTAAAGCAAGAACAGTAGGATTTGCTTGCTATAAATAAGATTGTAACCCATCTAGATAAGGACTTTTTGCAGTGTTTTCTCAGTTGAGCGGTCAGAATGGGCCAGATCTGTTAGTGGTTGATGAGTAATGATGTGGTTTCTCATCGCCTGACGGACCACACAGGGTCTCAATGCCGCTGCGCTCGAAATGCTTAACTCGACAGAAATCAGCTCCAGTGTAGTGAAATCTAACACTTGAATCGTTGACGGAATCGATCCTTTGCCTCTTAAACGTTCGCTGGCCTTGACCCGCGTATATAGTCAAAGCATTCACTCGTGCACAGCTTGGATAGATTTTCTCCTCACCGCAGCGCTATTCATATGATGCAATGTAGTGGGAAATGGGGGGCAGCCAGTCGGGTGAACTTTGCTTTATTAACAGGGAAGTATTCACATATTCTCCATATTAGCGTTGGATGGAAAAGTCGTCGGTGTCTGACTCAGTGGTCCCGGTTGAGAGTAATTACAGTGAATTTGATGCCAACAAGAAGCGGTAATATCCAGTACAGCACCACCTGAGGACCGGCCTATTTATGAATGAAGGAAAAGTCAAGAAGGGTAGTCAATATTTGTTGCTGAATGAAAAACGAAATAAAACTAAAGTTTTATTGATTTTTTTAAAAATGATTATTTGAAATATATTACACATATTTGAGGTATTTTGAAGAATGTAGGAAACTGACAGCCATAGCAGGAAAAAATGGACATCAATTGCTATGTTTCCATCCAAAGTTGTGAATTAAATTTATGCGCAAAACTGAAATATCACATAAAAGACGTGCGAATAAAGCAGCGTCTTCATCAAAAAGAGTCAAAGAAAAGAGTCAAAAGAGTGGAAGAAGCTGCGTGAATCTTTTCTTTATTTAATAAATGACTTGCGCCTCAGAAGACAATGCAGACATGTAATGAATGTGTGGTGGCGTTTGAAGGCATGAGACATGGAGCACAGCTATATGACCTCTATCAGATGTTAGATTTTGGTTGTCATATCTGATGTATAAATGTCAGCATTAAATGTCAGGATTTTGGTCATTTTCCAAAACAACCTAAAATCAACCGAATATCAACGTCCTTTCACTTTGTTATTAGATGTCAAAATAATGTTTCCCTTAGATGCTGGTGACCTAAATTTGACATAACATTAAAGTCTTATGACATTGTGTGTCTTCTGGGTTATTATTACATCATAGTTTACGTTTTAAAGACTTTTACTCTACATTTACACAACAACGATGTAGCCAAAAACAAATGTTTTTCCACTGTGTTTAAAAAAATTGTAATGTCTACACGACATTGTGTTGAAAGCAGCGCTATTCATATGATGCAATGTAGTGGGAAATGGGGGGCAGCCAGTCGGGTGAACTTTGCTTTATTAACAGGGAAGTATTCACATATTCTCCATATTAGCGTTGGATGGAAAAGTCGTCGGTGTCTGACTCAGTGGTCCCGGTTGAGAGTAATTACAGTGAATTTGATGCCAACAAGAAGCGGTAATATCCAGTACAGCACCACCTGAGGACCGGCCTATTTATGAATGAAGGAAAAGTCAAGAAGGGTAGTCAATATTTGTTGCTGAATGAAAAACGAAATAAAACTAAAGTTTTATTGATTTTTTAAAAAATGATTATTTGAAATATATTACACATATTTGAGGTATTTTGAAGAATGTAGGAAACTGACAGCCATAGCAGGAAAAAATGGACGTCAATTGCTATGTTTCCATCCAAAGTTGTGAATTAAATTTATGCGCAAAACTGAAATATCACATAAAAGACGTGCGAATAAAGCAGCGTCTTCATCAAAAAGAGTCAAAGAAAACAAAATCGTCACTTCCTGATTATCTGGCACCAAATATCAACAGTAAAAACAGAATTTACTGCGGTGGAAGAAGCTGCGTGAATCTTTTCTTTATTTAATAAATGACTTGCGCCTCAGAAGACAATGCAGACATGTAATGAATGTGTGGTGGCGTTTGAAGGCATGAGACATGGAGCACAGCTATATGACCTCTATCAGATGTTAGATTTTGGTTGTCATATCTGATGTATAAATGTCAGCATTAAATGTCAGGATTTTGGTCATTTTCCAAAACAACCTAAAATCAACCGAATATCAACGTCCTTTCACTTTGTTATTAGATGTCAAAATAACGTTGCCCTTAGATGCTGGTGACCTAAATTTGACATAACATAAAGTCTTATGACGTTGTGTGTCTGCTGGGTTATTATTACGTCATAGTTTACGTTTTAAAGACTTTTACTCTACATTTACACAACAACGATGTAGCCAAAAACAAATGTTTTTCCACTGTGTTTAAAAAAATTGTAACGTCTACACGACATTGTGTTGAAAGCAGCGCTATTCATATGATGCAATGTTGTGGGAAATGGGGGGCAGCCAGTCGGGTGAACTTTGCTTTATTAACAGGGAAGTATTCACATATTCTCCATATTAGCGCTGGATGAAAAAGTCGTCGGAGTCTGACTCAGTGGTCCCGGTTGAGAGTAATTACAGTGAATTTGATGCCAACAAGAAGCGGTAATATCCAGTACAGCACCACCTGAGGACTGGTCTATTTATGAATGAAGGAAAAGTCAAGAAGGGTAGTCAATATTTGTTGCTGAATGAAAACGAAATAAAACAAAAGTTTTATTGATTTTTTAAATGATTTTTTAAAATATATTACAGATATTTGAGGTATTTTGAAGAATGTAGAAAACTGACAGCCATAGCAGGAAAAAATGGACGTCAATTGCTATGTTTCCATCCAAAGTTGTGAATTAAATTCATGCGCAAAACTGAAATATCACATAAAAGACGTGCGAATAAAGCAGCGTCTTCATCAAAAAGAGTCAAAGAAAACAAAATCGTCACTTCCTGATTATCTGGCAACAAATATTAACAGTGAAAACAGCTACAGTGAATTTGATGCCACCAATAAGCCAAGAAGGCTAGTCAATAATTGTGGCTAAATGAAAAACTAAATAAAAATAAACTTACATTTTTATAGATTTTTAAATAGATTTTTAGAAATATTTTTTAAATATTTTACTTTATTTTTTGGTTCTGTTAAATAAACAAAGTTACTTTGAAGAATGTTGGAAACTGACAGCCATAGTAGGAGAAAAATGGACTCCAATAGCGATATTTCCATTTAAAGATGCAAATTTAATGTATACGCAAAATTTGAACATCACATAAAAGACGTGTGAATAAAGCAGCGTTTACATCAAAGAGAGTCAAAGAGAACAAAATCGTCCCTTTCTACTGCGGTAGACGAAGCTGCGTGAATCATTTCTTTATTTAATAAATGACTTGCGCCTCAAAAGACAATGCAGACATTGAATGAATGTGTGGTGGCGTTAGAAGGCGCAAGACGTATAGCACATATAGCTATATGACGTCAATCAGATGTTGGATATTGGTTTTATTTTAATCAGTAAATTAGGTTTTAACTTTATTTTTATACATTTTAACTTGACGTTAAAGACGTTTAATTGATGCAAGTTAAACAAACTTGTCAAATCAATTTGATCCAACTTAAAAATTGCAGAAGGCTGCAACATTTTTATTCTAGCATACAAAACACACCACTTCAGTAGCCATTGTTTACTCGCTTGTTTTTGCAATTGAGTCACTAGTTCTGCCTTCTTAATGACATCACACATATCATTAACAATAGCAGTCAACGGTTGGTTATGTAGCAAGAATTTAGATCAGACACAGTAACTGAAATATATTGTAGGGTTTGTTCATAAAGAGCCAAGGTTTGTGTAATTCTGTCTAGAATAGTCTGTTAATTGTGTCTTTCTTTTTCTGTCTTGCAGTAAAACCAATAGAGAAGGTGGTTCATTCCGTGTGTTCGCTGTCAGAGAGTGAGACGCCGCTGATGGGACACAAAAAGTCTGCTGTTTGCTTTAGGACAGGACATGTCAACGTGGAATGTAACTCTTCACATCTTTCTCTGACGTTTGGAGGAAAGACACATTTAAACCAAAGGATCAGCCAAAGTCTTACTGCTAGTTCAATCAACGGGCTTCCAAAGGTTTTATATGGAATTGTGGATGAATAATTGTTTTTATATTTACCGCACATGCAACTCTTAACAACATGCAGTGCGGTAGAAATGGTGTCTTAACAGCGGTGCTGGTTTTAATCGTTGTTGTTTTTGATTTTTAAATCAAGTCAGTTTTGTTTTCAGATTTTTAAAAGTGTTTTAAATACATGCAAAATCTCTAATTTTTTTTCATCCAGAATGCATATTGATCACACTGTATTTAACCTGTACAGATTTTATATTGTTCCTTTTATTGTTTATTGTTCTATTGTTTTAATTCCTCATATGTTTCTTACTTTTTTTCACCCCAGACTCATTCTGAAAACGTACCCCTATATACATTTCTGGAGAGCGCCAAATACATCGCAGAAGGTACTTTTTTTTTTGCAGTTTTTGTTTTCCCACCAGAGGCCGCTGTGTACGTTTTTTCAGATCTCAAATTTTTCTCGCGAGTGACATTCATACTTGCTGTTCTCACATAAATCCACCTGAGGCCGCTGTCGACTGACTAACCGACTGATTACAACACCCTTCTCCTTCCCTACACCCAACCGATAGTGTTTTCAAAAGCACTAATTGACCCGCCCTCCTTCCCTAAACCCAACTGACAGTGTTTTGAAAAGCAATCCAGAAACAGAAAAGCCCTCGCCGGATTTTTACCACATTTTTTAGATTTTACCACATTCTCACCCTGTTATTTACTTGTTTGTTTTATTTTTGGCTTTTATTTTTGTTTAACCTGCTTTTTGGAACAGTTTTTCACTAGACTCGAACCCCGTTGCCGCACTTAATTCTTCTCTGCGTCTCTAATCCACATGGCAAGCTACTGGACAAACTGGTAACACCAGAAAAGCCGTCCATACGGAGGTAAGCCACCAGCTGGTAAGCGTGAAAAGGAATGGCGTCATACCGCCCCATAGCGTTGTTTTTAAAGATGAAATGCAGCTTTATGTAGCTCTGGCTCCATAATTCATACTCTCCAAAAGTGTATATAGCGGTACATTTTCAGAATGAGCCTGTGTTGTAAATCTTTCTTTTGGAAGCCAACTCCTGGAATAGAGCGCAACATTCACTCAAAAAAGTTGCTTTTGCTTCTTGTTCAAACTTCTTCTTTAAAATGAGTTGAAACAACATAACTCTTAAGTTTTTTTGGTAAAAAAACTTAATTGTTTTATGTTTAATCCACTTCAATTGGTAAAAATGGTTGAGTTACCTTGATCAGTTTGTGTTGGGACAACATGAAGGACTTGTGTGGAACCCTGCAATGTTTTTTACAGTGATCTACTTTTTTCTCCAAATATTCATAGGACAAAATCTTTTGCTTTGACTGATTAAAACATTACAAATCTAATGTAAAAATAAAAGAAAAAATGCTTAATTGTTAAAACTAAGTTCTCATGGAGTTAACTTGTTAACAAAAGTTCAGCAGCGGAACCACACCTTACTTTGTCTTCTTAACCAATCACCTACTCCCTAAAAACTTAAGGCAGACCAGCCCTCCAGCACTCTTCTTCTCGTTCTCTCGATCCCACCCTCCCTCGCTTTATTTCCTCCCTTCCCAATAACAATCCTATAACCCTCTCATCACTCCTAGGTTGAATTGGGGGGTCCTAATCACTCTACCCAAATATTACAGAGGCGGTCAGTCTCTTGATCAACCTACCTATACCTGTTTACTGTTTTTCCTCTTACTTCCCTTCTCCTTCATCCCACTGTTCTCTTACCATCCTTTTCATCCCTATAAAGTCTTGCTCAAAGTGTGGTGCGGTCCATGCTGGGGAATGTAAAGTAAATGAATGTTTTTAACATGACAATTGTGCCCAACACTCATTTTTTTAACTACTTATTTAAAATGAGTTGAAACAACTTAATTGTTTTGGTTTAATGCTCTTAAATTGGTTAAATCTGTAATGCTAACTTAATCAATTTGTGTTGGGACAACAAGAAGGAATTAATTTAGCTTACGCTAATTACACTGTAAAAAGTAATTAGTTACTTAATGCGAGTAAACCATTGCCTTAAATAGAAAAAGTTGACTTCACAAAAATAATGTAAGTAAACCCCTTGTAACTTGAAACTGTTAAGTTGACTTAATTTTTATAAATATGCAAATTGTACTCAATTTTTAAAAAATAAAAGTAAACTAATCACTATTTCCAGTACACCTTTATTATATTACTTTTTTCCAGCTTTTCTGTGTCTAGCAAAATGACATACAGTAAAATAAATCTGCTCTTTCAGACTCCAGCGTGTCTTCTAAATTCAACACAGGCTATAATTGTAGACTTTATAAACATAATGAAGCACCAAATATGTAATATTGTAATAATTATAGTAATTATTTTAAAAATACACTAGGTAAAATAGTCTGACACTGTAAAAAGGATTAATTGACTTTAAAAAAAAAGTGAGTACAATTATTATAAAAATTATTTACTCACATTATTTTTGTAAAGTCAACTTGTTGCTTTTAAGGCAATTGGTTTACTTGCTTTAAGTAACTAATCACTTTTTACAGTGTAGTTACTAGCTAAACTACTTACAAATTTAAGTGGATTGAAAATAAAACAGATAAGTTGTGTCAGAAAAAATGCCAAAAATGTTGTTTTAGCTCATTTAAAATAAGCAGATGAATGAATATTAAATGTAATTTTTTGAGTGTGTGAATAGCAGTGTATGAATATGTGAAGTGCATTAAGAGGGATCTGTTAGACCTGAACCGTGCAAACAGATGCTCTGCAGAAAAATGGAAAAGGAGAAAAAAAAAGGAGGCAGACCTCCAAGCAAAAGAGACCTTTCCTTCATAATGCATGTGAGCCTTCCAGAGTCAACACTGCTCAGCCATTATGGTAAAGGTGCAAAAACATTGAAACAATGTGGCGTCCCGGGAGATTTCAGAGTCAGCGAGTGCATGTTTAGGCTCATCTTTCATTACAGTGCCTTAATTTTTTTGTTATTTATTCTTTCGCTTCTTTCAGCCTCTGCATATTCTGTGGAACGGAACCAAATGTTTATGAAAGTGACACCTGATATGCGCTCGCTTGAGAATCGTTAGTAACGTATTCCTGTTTGGTTAAGAGCTATACACAAGCCAGAGTCCTGTCATTACTGCCAAAAGCAATTACAGTCGATTTTTCCCTTCCATCTGTCATCTTAGTCCCTCATTTATCAAGGAAGCCCACAGCGGAATGAATCGCTAACTATTTCGGCATATGTTTTACCCAGCGGATTCCCTCCTAGCTGCAACTCAGTACTGGGAAACACCCATACACTCTCGCATTCACACACACACACTCATACACTGCGGCCAATTTCATTCATCAATTTTTTTTTAGCTTAATCCTTTTTTTGATCAGGGGTTGCCACAGCAGAATGAACCGTCAACTATTTCAGCATATGTTTTAACCAGCGGATGGCCTTCTAGCTGCAATCCAGTACTGGGAAACACCCATACACTCTCACATTCACGCACACACTCATACACTGCAGCCAATTTAATTCATCAATTTTTCTTCAGCTTAATCCCTTTTTTAATCAGGGGTTGCCACAGCAGAATGAACCGTCAACTATTTCGGCATATGTTTTAACCAGCGGATGCCCTTCTAGCTGCAATCCAGTACTGGGAAACACCCATACACTCTCACATTCACACACACACTCATACACTGCGGCCAATTTAATTTATCAATTTTTCTTCAGCTTAATCCCTTTATTAATCAGGGGTTGCCACAGCAGAATGAACGTCAACTATTTCGGCGTATGTTTTAACCAGCGGATGCCCTTCTAGCTGCAACTCAGTACTGGGAAACACCCATACACTCTCTCATTCACACACATTCTTACAGTACGGCCAATTTCATTCATTCATTTTCCTTCAGCTTAATCCCTTTATTAATCAGGAGCTGCCACAGCGGAATGAACCGCCAACTTCTCCAGCATATGTTTTATGCAGCAGATGCCCTTCTAGCCGCAACCCATTACTGGGAAACACCCATACACTCTTGTATTCACACACATATGGCCAATTTAACTTATTTAAATCACTTATAGTGCATGTGTTTGGACTGTGGGGGAAACCGGAGCACCCGGAGGAACACCAACATAGGAAGAACATACAAACTCTACTCAGAAATGCCAACTGGCCCAGCCAGGACTCGAACCATCGACCTTCTTGCTGTGAGGCGAAAGTGCTAACCACTGAGCTGGCTGAACATCTATTTGTTAAAACCACTTTTGCACAGCGACATAATAAAAAGATACTTAAGCTGAAAGCAACTACAGCCGTGCCTTCTGAGAGGAAAGAGACGGCTGTTTGTCCCTTATCTTAATGCATTTTTCTCAGTTGGATCGCGTTCAGAGTTCAGGATTTGGATGAATGTGGATGTTCTTATAAGGAATAAGGGCCGTGAAGCTCAATAATCCCTTCTGTATTTTTTTACTCTTCACCTACACTTTAAAAAGCCATTAGTTGACTTTACTTTAAAAAAAGAAAGAGTAAACTCATTGCAATTTAATTATTAAGTAAACAAGCTGTGTATAATTCTAAAAGTTAAGTTTACTCACTTTTACTCAGTACTGGGTTGCAGCTGGAAGGGCATCTGCTGCATAAAACGTATGCCAGAATAGTTGGCGGTTCATTCCGCTGTGGGGACCCCTGCTAAATAATGAACTAAGCTAGAGATCTGCATGGGACTGAATTTTTTGTCCCGCTCCCGCTAGATTTTATTCCGCACCCAACCACTCCCGCTGTATATTCAACCTTTGTTCACCCGCCGTCCAAAATCTTACGTTAAAATTGGGTACTACCAAAGGAGAGAGATAACAGGTTGTGCAAGATTTATAAGCTAAATGTCGGTTTTATTTGCCCCTCTGTGATGAGACATGAGTGCCACCTTAAACAGTGACGTGCGATGAGATTTGTGGCTGGTGAGGCACTGACTGTTTCAAAGTCAGATGTACAAACATATCCACCCAATATATTTGCCAACTACCGATTGTGTTTCATATATCAGCATTATTTCTATACACTAAACAGGTACATATTAGGCCAAGGAGGATTGTCAAATGTATAGCAATTAAATATGCCTCCCAAAAACCACCCAGCTGGATGCTACAGAGTCCAGACAGCCTATAACAAGCGACCCACAGCACCACGGCGGATGCGCACTCTCTCTCTCACGTGCTCTCTATCTCTTAGGAGCAATATATTGTTAGCCCGCCTGCTTCCGTTCAAATTACACCAGAGTTACTGACCGATACCGCATTTTATTTGAAAATTTATTCCTGTGCTGCAAGAAATCTGGTTGGGTCCTGCGACTTTCGCGGTATAGCCCCGGGTATGCAGACTTCTAGACTAAGCCGAATGAATGAATGATGTTTACTGACTT